GGGCCGCGCTGCCCCTCGCTGGCCGACGCGCTGGAGGGGCTGCAGGACGTGGAGCGGTACTACCGGCAGCTGTATCCTTCTGCTGGGGTCGGGCGGGCAGCGCCGGCCGGTGCCTTTTTCTCTTTGTTGTCCTTAGCGGGCAGGAAGGTACCTGGAGAGCAAGCTGCTGCTGCTCCGCATCCGCTGCGACAGCCTGGCAGACATGGAGGCCCTCCCGCAGTCTTGGGAGAGGATTTTGGCGCGCTACCAGGAAGACGTCGTTCAAGGTAGTTCTGCTTACAGCAGACCCAAAGGGCCTTTCCCGGAGCTCCGCGCTGATGTCTCAGCCCTGGGGACAGCACGTGGGCCTGGTGGTGCTTGCTGTGTGGGTCTCAGTAGCAGCGGGTGACCTTGCCCAGTTTGTGGTTGAGCTTTGCGACCTGCTTTGAGATCTGGTGAACAACTTCAGGTGTAAATACTCGCCATCGCACCCTGGGCACAGCTGGAAGCGGCGCCCTTCCTCACAGTGTAAGAAGGGGCTTAGTGATCCGTTTTGCTTGGTCTGCTAAGTTAGTTTTACTTACGTTTCTCTTCATTGCTTTTAGAAACACATTAAGGCTTTGTGTGTACAGAATACAGATAAAATGCATTAAGCCAATGGGGTTGGTTTTTCCCTTCTACCTCAGATACGCTTTTTAAGATCTCTCTGTTTGTGGACAACCAGCGAGAGCTGTGCTGCTCACCAGGCTCCTGACGGAGAACAGGAGGGACTGGCGTCGACCGGCTTCTGCGAGAGTCTGGTATGTTCTGAGGTGACCACGAAGAGGATGATGAATTGAGGAAGCTTCACTGGTGCTTTTTGGAAGCTGAATGAGTTGGGTACTTGGCCTCAGTAGGAAATGCTTGGACTGTTTCATTTTCAAGTGGAAATGGACTTGGCGTCTGAAGAAGAGGCTGAGCTGAACAAGCTGTGGAAATTGTCCTTTCTTTTGCCTGCCGTGGATGTTTTGTATACTGAAAAAAAATGTTGAGACTTACTAACTTGAGGTGTGCTGCAAATAAGTGACCATAACATAAAATCCAGCAGGCTGATACCTGTACGTGTAAGGAGGATGCGTAGGTACCGTCCTTACAAATAAATAAAAGATGTCAAATCAGGGCTTGAAAACAGTTTGCACCTTGTGCCTCTCAGCAATGTGTTTGCTTTCATCTACCTGTACATTGAAGAGGAAGGAACAAATTTGGCTTGGAAATGTAATTATGGAGGTACGGAACCCTGAGGTCTGACATAAGCAGTTTTCAAGTGTGTTAGAGTATGCTCTTCTGATATCTCTGCTAGGGCATGTTTAAATCAAAGTCTTAAAACTTCATGCTCTGTGGCCACAGCAGCTGCTGACAGTTCTGGGGACGTCTTTTGTTGGCCATGACACCAATCCTCTGTAATGTTCCCGGAAAGTAGTGGGGTGCCTGTTGCTAAATAACATTTGGTACGAAATTGTAGCTTCTCAGAGAAGGCCAAATAAAGAGTTGTACTTGGACGGATTTTAGATGTGCTTGTGCTCCCTGTTTTTACGGCGAAGCAGGTCTCAAACCCGAGGAGTCCATCTGACCACCTGAGGGCACTGCTCGACCTGCGGAGAGCCGCCCAGGGGAGCCCTGCGAGATGGCCGCAGGGCTGGGGCTGCCAGTGCTCGCCATCAGCTGGCAGGTCTTCACGGGATGGTGCTTTATATGCAGTTCTAATTGCAAAGAAAAATGATGTCACCCTCTTGGCGTTGGTATGGCTTCCGGGCGTCATGGCTGACGAAATCGGCGTTTGCCAAGGGAAGGGCGTTAAGCCCAGGGAAGCAAGGCAGGTTGTGCTCCCAGCACGTACAGGGCAGGGGATCCAAGGGCTGGTGGGGAGCTCAGCTGGCTTGGCGGTACTCCTCTGCTGCTGAAGGTAGTTCCTCTTTGTTCCTGCGTGCTCTGCGCGCTTCGGGACCCTGATGTGCTGCTGATCCTGTCCTCCAGCCGGCTGTGGGGGGCTCTCATGGCTGGACAGGTGCCCGCTGCTCCGGGCATCCCCTACAGCCCCTGTGTGAGACTGCAGCGTAACTGTGTGTTGTGAGTTGCAGTGTGACTGTTCTGAGCTTTTCACTTGGCCATCTCCTTCCTAGGGAAGTGAGAAATGGAGTCCTCCTCCTGCTGCTTCAGCTTAAGATGAAGCAGATGATGCAGTGAAGATACTGGTTTGGCAGATCAGCCAAGAATGCAGTTTATTTAGCAAATGGCTGTAGAGCAGTCTCGATGCAGATGCTTCTGCGTGCAAAGCACTTCCCATCCTTGAGTGGCTCTGTCTCGCCGTGACCTGTCGCTGACTCATTTTGTCAGTGTGCTGCTGATGCTGTGGGTTGCATCACAGCATCAGTTCAGTATAAGGCATTAATTTTCCTGTCCACAGCAGAGTGAGTAATTTCATCTAGTTTCCTTTTCCAGAGCTTTGATTCCAGCCGCAAACTCCTCCCCAACTCTAGAAATTCATGTCCTGTGTTTAGGTTGCAGTCAGTGAAGCAGCGTAGGTAAACTTTATTAGCCATTACCTCCTGCTGGTGTTCAGCCCATGCATCTTCCCGTGGGACATCACTGACTTCTGTTTTTAAGGAAAGGGCAAGTGTATGCTGTGGGATGACACAGATCGCAGTAAATTTATGTAGATGCCCTCCAAGCTATCTCTGACAGCTGAATGCTGGTGTCTGCAGAGGCTGCCAGTCTGAAATCCATCTGATAAAAAGGTTGAATGTTGCAGTACAGCAAAGAGCAAAGGTAATAGCACTATCTTTCATCCATCTCCTGTTCCTTTTCTGATATGGTTTTGAACCTGTGGCCAAAGTGCAGACATGTTGCCTGTGTTGGGAGTGTGCTGCCAAGCTACGTGGCTAATGGCAAGCATGCCTGCACGTCCCATCAGTGCTGATGGCTGTCACTGCAACGAGTGACTTGTACAGTTCTGGTTTTGGGATGGGAGATGAGGGAGAGCAGACAAAAGAACAGAGAGCAGCTGTATGGCCTTGGGTTCATTATATGTGGCTCGAAGGGCGTAAGACGGATGATGGCGGGGTGAATCCTGGGGTGTCATCCTTGCTCAGGCCTTGATATAGCATCATCATAAAACAATAAATCATGGTGCTTGTGGACGCAGAATTGTGTTTACATGTGCACATACTACACAGCTCTTCAACACCCTTCTTTGTGAGTCTGTCTTTAGTACAGCTGCATAACGAACAAATGGATTTAAATTTTGGAAGGTCTTCAGAACAGTTTGGTGGTGGCCCTTCTGCTTCTCCTAGATGTTTGGCCCTCTGATGTCTGTCTTTGGGCTAACAACAGCACTGCTAAAAGTGCTGAGAGAGCCTTCTGAATTAAAAGTGGCCACGACCTGACTCTGACTGAAATGGGGTGAAGGAGGTGCTCACTGAAGTTTTGATGTGACTAATTAGAAACATAGAATGGTTTGAGTTGGAGGGGACCTTAAAGATGATCTAGTTACTCTGTACTGTTTCTGGCTGATGGGCCATGTCATCAGTTGCAGTGTTCTGGAAGGGCACAACTGAACCTCTGCATCAGAGCACTCTAATTGGATACAACTGTAGGTTTGTTCCATTTCAAGATCTGGATGTTACAGCTCAGGATGGCTGCCAAGGTCCCCAGTTGCTGACAAGAATGTGGTTCCTTATGTGTGCGAGACTCCCTTCAGCCAACATTCGCCAGGGAATCTCTGTGGGTTTGAAGGTTCCCATCATCAAGACAGCCAGGGTGGGCATTCCCTCTTTAAGCATTTAACTTGGGAGCACTCTCCTCCTCTTCCAATGCCTGGGAGCCTGCACGGCTGAGTTAGATACCTGCATGCCCATGGCAGGGATATTGTTGGGTGGTGTCATCCCAGCCTGCGGCTCGGAGGAGCCAGGGCAGACTGTCTGCGGTAGGCGCTGCTCTTCCTCCCCACGTCTCTCCCTCATCCTGAAGGTCCCTGGCTTGCTCTCAGTTTGTTTCTGTGCCTGAGCTTTCCAAGACTGAGCTGTGACGTGGCCCACTGCTAGCAAGCCATGTCTGCTGTCATCAGCGAAGGATTTCAGTGTCTGTCTGAGTACTGGGATGGGAGGGAAGCGAGTGAAAACACAGCAGCATCTGCTGGCAGGCAGTGGGTCCTCTCCAGCTGCCTGGGGAAGCTGAGTGCAGGACTGGGGGGCTCCAGCCTGTGCAATGCCTGAGTGAGGCCAGTGGGTAAGGGCAGTATCAAGGGCTCTGAGACTAACTGGTAAAATACACCTAACCATAAAAATAAATCTGAGTGCCTTTATTTTTGGAGCAGAGCTCTTAAAGTATTCTTGCATGGAGATCTG